TTATTGTAAACAAGTAAAACCTACCTTTTTTACTGTCTTTGGAATAAACAACATTGTTTTGAGCTCCAAAAAATGTAAGCCTAAATTTCAATCGTTTCATTTGTACGAGAAATATAACTTACATATAACTTTATTACATTTAACTGATGAAGGTTGTAACCTTATACCTTGAAAGTTACATTATAAAACCTGTCATAAACCTCATCATGATTCAAAAATCTGATATTAAATCCTATATTACCTATTTGAAATAGTGAGGTTTGTTTCTCCTACCAATACATAATTCCTCACTTATTAACCAAGAATCCTATTTTCATTGACATTCTTATGCATTAATAATGTGTAATACTTAGCATTCATCTTGATTATATGTGATATTTTCCAAAGAACATTCACCATACTGCAAGCACTTGAACAGTAAGAGCTGTGTTTTACTTCATTCTTTATCTTTAGTGTCTCACACAACTAAGACAGTAAAACTCAATTCATATTTGAGCAAGTGATGAATGAAAAAGAGATAATAAGAAAACTGTCTGATCTTTAGATCAGCCCAAATAGAACTTATGATTAATATTTCCAAAAGGAGGGCTGATGGTGAGAATATATGAATGAATGAATAAATACTATAATAGAAAATAAAATGCAGTGAGTTTACATTAAACTAGGTATCATGATGTTTTGTTGCCCTTGTCTAGCTTGGATTAATACTTAGTCTATAGGCACACACCTGATCATCTACATTTGCCCTCTTACAGCACTAAACTATGTTTTCTACCTCTATCTTGCATCTACCTACCATTTCAGCATTTTATTAATAATAATAATAATAATAATAAGGGAGAAATGTGGGATTCACATATAAATCAAGTATAAAAATCAAATGAATAATCATAATTGACCTGATTATTTATAGTTCATGATGCATGATCAAAACCGAAAGTTTCTGTGATGACTGCCCTTGCACTGTTCACCATGTAAGAACTTATTCACTATGCAAGAACTTGTTCACCATGTAAAAACTTGTTCGTTATGCTTCAGAAGATTGGAGACTGTTGAGAATTAGGCATGGGGTTGATTAATGATTGTGCATTAAGTCCCCTATACAGAATTTTATTGTTGTTAACAACCATATGATCAATAAATGAGAGATGCCCTCTCAAAAAAAATATAAATAAATAAATGAATGAATGAATGAATGAATGAATGAATGAATGAATGAATGAATGAACTAGGTATCATGAAAAAACAGAAACTTGAGCTTCAGGAAGTTGGCTTCCCAAGCAAATAGATGTGGCAATCTCTGGAGGATTCTGGGTCTTCTCATCCTCTCTGCAAGTGGAAGATTGCCTTTCAATGAAGGAAACAACTGAGAATGGGAAGACCCAAGCCTCTTGCTCCAAATAGGTGGGTAGGGTGGGGAGGCAGAAGAACAATAGTTAACTTCTGTTTATGGCAGATCTCTAGGGGTTGCAAAACTGTACTAAGCACTTCTAGGATCGGGAGAGAGTAGACTTATTTAAGAGTTCCTAGGGAGATTTCTTTCCCAGAAATATCTCCCCTATGCTTTCCAAAATCTCGCTAGTTAAAATATTTTGTTTTAGTTAGTAATACATGGTCCCTTCCAACTCAAGTTGACACTAGCAATTAGTTTCAATGAACATTAACCTCTTCTTCCCATTCCCATGACTATTTTTTTTAGAGAAGGCTTGCTAACCAAAATATATCCACAGCATTTAAAGTCCAGGCTCCTAATTCCAAGTCCAGCAGACTTTTCATCTGTGGCTTCATATTTGCCCTAATACTTAGATCAGGGGACTAATATTTGTCTAGGATCAGATAATACAAATTAATATTATGTATGTAATATTATGTATGTGTATATATATGTAATGTAAGTTAATGTTATGTAGTATAATTGACAGGGAATGTAAATCACTGATGATTAGTTGTAAAACAATAGGGAATTGTAAAGACGATGTCAAAAGAGTATATATGCCCTGTGTGTTGGGGGAGTTACTACTTAGGTCCAGGGTATTGCTGCTATGCAGAAATGTAAACCCAGTTCTGCCAAGATCTTCCAATTTTTCAAGAAATGCTAGAAATCCATATTTGAATATAAAAGTACCACTTTTTAAGCATGTTTGCAGCTCAAAGTTTTTTGGCTGCCAGTCTGTGGTCCCTGATCTAAATGAGCCAGCAGCACTGAGAAAATGGAAAGAGACAAAGGGGAGGCCTATTTTGGCCAGAAAGTCAAGGGGAGGAAAAGAGTCACAGAAAGACGGAAGTCAAATTCCACCAACCTCACAATCCGGCCTAGGAAGTCCCAATCTTTCTGCCTTCTAATCTGAGAACAAGAAGGAAGAAAAGGCAGAATGGAAAAAAAAGAAGCCGAGAGGAGAAAAAGAACCAGCTACTGAAGACCTACTAGACAGCAGATACTGCATCAGATGCTTTCTCATATGTAGTCTCATTGAGAGACAGCAATGCAAGGAAAAAAAATCATGCATAGAGAAAAGAAGGAAATATATCAAAATACTAACAAGTACATGTGTCAGATTTTGAGAGCTCTCCTTTCCATTCCTGGTAATTTTTAACCATAAATATACTTGTATTGACTTTATAACACAAATTTTATTGAAAGCTAAGTAAGTTGGATTTCTAGGTAAAATCTACTCATCTGAGAGTACAGAACGTATACTATCATAAGTCAAGCCAAACCATGCACTGAATAAATAGAAAAAGAAAATATAACTTCATGTGTATGTAAATAATATGTAATTTTGCAATTATAAAACCAGAAGAGTACAGGAAAGAAACTATACAGGTGAAGAAGATGACAAATTGACTAAATAAGAACAGAAATATGTGATATTGCTAAGAATGTTGTAGGTCATTTCCCTTTAAATTATAAAGTAGACTACCAAGATTTGTGTGTGTGTGTGTGTGTGGCCTACACGCTATAAAATATAAAAGATCCTCTCTTTTCTATAAAACTTTTAGACATCTGCCCATTTTTACATACTTTTCCATAGTTACTGCATTGTTTTCTTTCTTTCAGGCACATATTTTTATTTAAGTAGTACTTTTATTTGCCTTTAGTGTGTTTCAAAAATAACAGGTTTTATCTTTTTTTTCCTAAATAAAGTATGTTATTTCAGGCCACTTGAGTGCTAAGCAATCTAAATCCTCAATTAATCTCTTCCAAACATGCATATTCAGTTTTCATTCTGCTCAAATTGAAACCCTAACCTAAATACTTCAAGTGTAATTTCAGGGAAAAATACTGTTCAAAACCTAGATAATTTATTCCTTTGTTGATGCTAAATATAGTCATCTCAAGATGACATACATTTTGACAATGATTAGTCTTACATATCAAATTTTCAAAAATAGCACAGATTCCACTTAAGGTGAGCAGAAAAAATTGCTATTCACTCCAATTCATCTTAAAATGGATTTAAAGGTGTCAATCATCCATTAAACTGAATTACATCAATACTATATTGAGGGAAACAGGATTTAAAGAAACTCCGTTGTTTTTGCTTAGAGCTAGAGTAATTGTTTCAGGTCAAAAATAGAATTGCCAACATTTTTCTTTACATTATTCCAGTCATAATATAAATTATCTTCAAAAGTACGAGGCTAACAACTCTACGGAAGACTCTTAACTAATGACATTAAATAAAGTTCATTTATACTCAGTATACCCCCCCCAAAAAATGCCTGTCGCTCAATTGTGCATTTTTCCATCCTATATCTCAAAATTCAAAATACTTTCAGAGACTTATTTGTGTTCTGAGTTTTCTTTACCGCAGCAATTTAACCTGTAAAACAATTAGGGGGAAAAATAATGTTCACTCAAAGATGTGTGACTAAGATGTTATAAATATTTGTTTATTCAATTATACTACCCAACACATAGTTATGTTGTGACTCAAAGGCCAATGGGCCCGTCACATGAATTCATTAACAAAATTTAGTTGATGAATGATGCTGCCATTGCTTGGCTCATGGAACTATTTCAGATTATGGCTTACTTCTTTTCCTACCTGTGTCCTTCCCAAGGACAGACATTTTGTTAGGACATATCCGCATGCTATTTTTACCTTGTTCTTGCTCTCTCCCTCCACCCCCCGCTCCCCTACCCCTTCAAACTCTTTGTTCACATCATGGACCATAAATAAACATAAAATGAGGATCTGGAAGCCTTTGCAATGATCAGCTAACCTCTGAACTTGGTTTTTTTCCTTACAAATGCCATTAATAAATTCTTGGTATTTGTAGAGCGTTTCAGTTTGCTAACAGTTGGACTGGCTTGTGTTTTTCAAAAAGCATATGGACAAGGGAGGTCCTCAAGAAGTGGCGACATTATTCACCCCAATTTCCAGCCGCAGTGGCAAAATCCCAACATCCCACCTCGGACAGAATCGCGGAAAACTAGTTTGTGGGGAGGAGAGTAGAAGGTAAACTGTTAAATCACACTGCAATCCCCAGCCTCCACAGAGACAGCTCAGGAATGATCTCTCCTAAATGTAACCGGCACTGCCGGGAGACGGAAACCGCGCCCAGGGCACGTGGAGGAGGACCCCACGGAACTTCACCTGCCCGAACCCTAAGGAGAGCGAAGGGACTGGCGGCCGTCCGCTCTCGGAGCGCTCTCCCCGGGGCGGCCGAGAAAGCACCCGAACCAAACAGCCGACAGGGCACAGGCGGAGCTGCAGCAGCGGAGGGGGCAGGAAACCGCAGCCCGAGCCGGCGGCCGGTAACGCGGCCAGCCACGCGGACCCCAGGCGACACTCAGCCCGGCCCGCAGGGCGCGGCTCCGAGGGCCGGGAGCCGCCGGGCAGCCCCGGCGGGAGGGAGCGCGGTGCGCCCCGGGGCTGCGGCGGAGCCCGGGGGGAGCAGACGCGAGGGGAGCGTCTCCCGGCGGCCCCCGCCCCAGAGCGGGACCCATCTCCGTCTCCGCCGCCCCCGCCCCACGTTCCCCCGGCTCCTCTTACCTGCCGGGATCCTGCGACTCGCGTAAGTCCTCGCTGCGCGCCGAGGGGCTGTGCGCGTCCCGCGCCGGGCTGTGGGCAGGGGTCTGAGCACTCCGGCCGCCGCTCCAGCCGCCGGGAGCCCTCTGGCTGCCGCCGCCGCCGCCGCCGCCGCCGCCGCCGTCTCCAGCAGCAAGTTTCCATAAAAGTCCTGGTGCGCAGCCTGATCCCGCATTCCAGGCGGGCCCAGCGCCTGCTGCAGCTGTTCCAAAACACAAGGCCAGTTCCCCCAACCCCCGCCTCCGCCGTGTCGCCCGGAGAGGGGTGGAGAGTCGAGGAAGACAGGAAAGGGGGGCGGCGGCAGCCACCTTCCCTCCAGAATCTGCTCGTCGTCCGGCTCCAGGTCGCTGACCCCCTCATCTGGGGTCAGGTTCTAGCTCCCTGCAGGGTCCGGGGTAAAGGAGTCGGCCTCTCCAGTGGGAAAGGAGTGATAGAAAATGGGATTCCAAAACCGGCTGGAGCTGGCTCCCCACTGCCCACAGACGGTTTGCCCGGGGCCCACTTGACGTCCTCTGCCAGTCCTGGTCTCTATCTTCACCCAGAGCATCGATTCCAGGCCGACCCTTACTGCTGAGAGCATAGGGCCGCAGTCCGGGGACCACTTGATCTGTCTGTGCTCTCCTCTCGGCTCTCATCTCTGACTCCAAAGAGAGAGGTCCATAGAGAGAAGTGGAAGGAGAGAGACAGGAGAAGAGGGAGGAGGAGGGATAAATGGAAATAATATGGGTATAATTTTCCACCTTTTCTTAACCGAAGGCAAATTATCTCTGGTCTTTAAACATTTACATAAAGACATCTGCGGATATTGGCACCCACAGACCTTTCCAATCACCAGCCTGCCAATTAAAACCCAAATCAAACCTGAATGCTCATACAGAGGGGTCATTCTTCTAGGAGGGGAGATCAATCATCACTGCTTGCATAAAATATAAACTATTTAATTAATAATTGAACTAGCAACAACAGACATAAGCTAGGGACAATCACCTCCAACTTCCAGCCCTGGGCAAACAGTGGTGCTCAGGTTATGTATTCAGGGACGTTCAAAAGCCTTCTGCTTTTAACTGTAAGTTTTCTCCTCTAACCCATCCCCATACACTGTCTTCTCAGAATGAACATTCTTTGAAGAGGTGTAAACTACTCATTCTTCAATTAGAAAAGTTCTAGATTGGCAATTAGAACAGCTATTTAAACTTACTCTAATACAGATAATGAGAGACAGCCTGGATGGTCTAGCACCCGGCTGGCTCCCTTCAATACCATCTCGACTTTCTTCAGTGTACGAAACTTACCTCGTTATTCTGGTTGCAGGGCCCTTGTGTAAGCTTCTCCCTGTCTGAGATCTCCTTACCGCCCCTCTCCTACCTAACTTCAGCATATGCCTTTGCTGCCTGCTAGTATGTTGCTTTTTCAGAGGCCTTCCTTTCATTCCAGTCTGTATCAGGTCTTCATGTTAAAAACTCTTCCACCCCTTACCAATATATAATTATACAAAGTTTTATGGATTTATATTTAAAATATATGATTATATATTAAATATTTTATATATAATTTCATATATCTGTAAAAATATAAACTTACCAAGTTATAATTATACATTTATTTCTGATTTAATTTAAAGGAGCTCTCCTAACTAATATCCACTCAGCAGATTCACCAAATTAAAGCTCTCTGTTCTGTAAACCGTGACAGCTTCACACAGCATGCAAAGCCTATTTCTTCTCCCACCAATTCATCATTCATTCAGGAAATACTCAGTTCTAGATACTGAGGATACAGCAGTGACAAAATGAATAAAAGGCCTTGCCATCAAAGGGCAGACAATAAGCACATAAATGAATTACATAGTACTTAGTGATGTGCCATATGGACAAAACCAGAGCCAGAAAGTAGGGAATGCAAAGAGGGATGGGTGGATTTGGATAAAGTGGCTAGGGAAAGCCTTATATGAGTAAGTCTTGAGGAAAATGAGACAGTGAGCTATTTAAATATCTGGAGATGCATGTAAATATGAGCTATATAAATATCTGAAGATATCTGGGAAGAGTGGTCCAGGGAGAGGTACAAAAGCCTGGAGAAAGATCCTATCTGACATATTCTAGGTTTGAGCAATGAGGTCTGTGTGGGTAAATCTGGGCAGACAAAGGCTGAAAATAAGAGCAAGTGGGGGAGCAGGAGACCTACAGTGGAAAATTTTTTGTACAACATTGTAAGGACTTTGGCCTTTACTCTAAGATGGGTGGCACCTGGTGGATTCAAACAAAGTACGGACATGATCTGATTATTTTTAAGATGGGCTGCAAACACACTAAATGAAGCAGGGAGACCAATTAGGAGGCTTCCAAAATAGTCAGGATGACAGGTAATGGGAGCTTAATATATGTCACAATAAAATATATGACCAAGGTGACACCTGTGAAGGTAATGGGAAATGCTTGGCACATTTTTTTCTTGGTACATTTTTAAAATTACAACTGGTAGCATTTGGTGACAGATTGAATATAAGGTGTAAGGAAAGAGTTTCTAGCCTGAGGAACTGAAGGAATGGAGTCATTTACTGAGTTAAGTGAGACTGGGAGGAGGAGGTTTAGGCAGCTGTGGCCAGTAGCTCAGTTTTGGACATGCTAAGTTTAAAAACATTAGAAGTCCAAGATTTGCCAATTTGTATAAACAATCTTTGCATATTTATCATTTATCAGTTGGGTTTGTTCTCATCTTGATTATATCAGTCGCATATTATCAAAATTACATAAAATAAGCATTACAAAAAGGAAGAAATATAAAAGCAGGGAAGTAATAGTTTGTAAGTTAAATTGAATGCTTTGAAGACTCGATAAAGGCAGTTTCCAAAAACTCCTGTCAAGCTAGGTGTGGGGAAGACAAATCTAAAAGATTGGATACAAAATCATAAAAATCTAGGAGTCAGTACTCATTGCTTTTCAGGTACATTTTTTCTCCTTTAAAAGTAAGGGAAACTGGAAATTCCAGATAATGATTTAGAGGTGTAGTTTTGCAAAAAGATATCTCAGAACTATATCCCAACTTAAGGCTTTGACCCTACCTCAAAAGATTGGCCAAACAATGTGTACATATTCATTTAAAATTAAAATGTCTACATTATCGAATTATGATTCTCTTGTTGGATTCAGCCACCAAGATGACCCCAAATGATCCTGCCTCCTTGTATTCACACTCTTGTGGAATCTCCTCCCATACCATATTAGGATTGGTCTCTGTGACCAATAGAATAATGCAGAAGTGATGGTATGCCACTTCCAAGGCTAGATTATAAAAGATACTGTGTCTTTTGCTTTGATATCTCTTGGCTTACTCACTCTAGGGAAAGCCAGCTGCTGGGTTTTGAAGATATCCAGGCAGCTCTATGAAGAGGCCCACAAGGCAAAGGCCTCAAGTACACCACCAACAGCCACGTCAATAAGCAAATCTTGGAATCAGATCTTCCAGCCCTAGTCAAACCTTCAGATGACTGCAATTTCAGGAGATCCTAAGCCAGAACCACCAAACCAGGCATTTTTGGATTCCCAACCCTCAGAAACTGTGTGAGTTGATGTTTGTTGTTTCAAGCTGTTAAATTTGGGAGTAATTTATGCAGCAATAGATAATAAATACACCTGCTTTAACCTACTTTTCTTTTTTATTATCCATCTTCTACCCCATTAAGCACTTAGTCCTTTTTAAACTCCATAAGGCCTATTCTCTCTCACAGTGTTTTTCAATAAAGGAATCAGCAGAAGTCCTGGAAGTCATATATTTCAAGTGTTTTCAAATATCAAAGTGCTTCTCTGTATTCAAGTATTAATGGTATTTCAGACATAGCAAATTATAAAAGTTCTGTGATTTTCTATATATAAAGGTACTTTACAAAAGGCTTCTGTGACACACGTAAGAGACAGTTAAAAGCAAATGTTGAGGTAGGATTTGATGTAACAGCTGCTTTGCTGTGGCTTTTAAATAAAGAATAAAAAGTGCACAGAAGGAAAGTTTGCTCTTTTTCTGTACAGAAATTCAGTCCTTCCCTGCCCAAACAATGAAGGTTATTTAAGGGTTTTCACAGTTGCAGAGGTAGAAAAAAAAATAGACCCCGAGCAGACCAAAGAGTTGTGCAGCCTGATCAAAGATGTCAGTAGCATAAGGAGAGGAAGAGATTAAAGGAGAAGTGGAGAGGAAAGTATTCCAGAATACAGGTTATAGGAAGAAATGCTACATACAAAATAGAAGTCAAAAGCAGCGTAAGAACAGTAAAAAAGATAAACCAAGTGAGTTTATAAAGATTTCCAGCAAAGCCCTACAAAAAAATAGTGTAACGATAGGACACTGAGATGCTTGTAGAGAAGTATTTTGAACATACATAAAAATTCGGAGAGAGATGTTTGAAGTTCAGGTAGTGGGACCAAAGAGGATGGCATGAAACAGAGAGTAAGGCAGGCAGGTGACAAATCAGGTGCGGTAGAAATGCCTGATCTAGTTTCTCATTCCATCTCCAGCCCTGTGTCCTAGCTAGGAAACGATTTAACTCTCATTTGTATGGTTTTCTTATTTAGTAGTAAGCTTCAGTTTGTTTCCGTTTTTAAAATATAACTATACATTTAGCTATATTGTACATATTTAGTTATTCAAAAATATACTTCTGCATTAAAAGCCCCAAATCAGGAATACTATATTAATGTCCAGGTAAGCCCTTCTTGTCATCTAGTGTCTACAGTCGTACCCAGACAGAATCCCTCTCGTTGGCTAAATGAATCCGAACCCTTGCCAAGAAGTGGTGGGACAGGGGCTGACTTCATTCATCACAAAACTGTCTTTTCTCCCAGTTTGTACATAAAGAAAACATATACTTGTACACTTGGTGTCAGAGCTTCTGCAGCTGCCTGTGCTGTCTCTGCTGTCTCTCTGCCTGCGGACATGGTCTCAGGGGACTGAAAGGTCCCATGCGGCATGGTCTGACAAGGGAGACCTTGCCAACGCACATAAGCAGTGTATAAAACACTCACTACATTGGCAATATACACCATCACATTTTTATTTGGCAGTAGCAGAAATACATCCATGTTACAGTGCTTATTTTGGCTAAAGAGACAGTGCAATTTTTTTCTGCTACTGTAGTGTTTCACTTTTACATGAATTAGAAGTGCAGTCCTTACATTTAGGAAATAGACACATTTAGTGATTTCAACCAAGTAAAGATAATACATGATTCTCAGACTAAGCAGAACAATAACATAATCATTAGGAACAAAGAAAGGATGCCCGTATTTCCATTACTCACAGATTACACAAATTAAGTCTCACAGAGTGATATTTCTAGATTTGATTAATCCAAGGAAAAAAGATTTGAATCCAGTCTAATTCTTATA